ATTTCAGTGGTTTGCAGCAGCAGGTATTTATTTTTCTTCTCCGTAGACCCTGTAGGTCAGCTGGGTTTGGCTCCAGCTCAGCTTTCCATTCTGACCAGCAGCAGCCTCATGGGCCATATTCTTCTCATGGCTATGACAGATGCACAGAAGGCCAAGCCAAATCATGCCAACACATTATGGCCTCTGTTTGCTACATCTGCTAACATTACATAGGCCAAAGCCAGTCAGGTGGCCAAGTCCATATCAAAGGTACAGGAAAATCAACTCCATGGAAGGTGTTACAAAGTCACATCTCAGAGAATGGGTGTATAATTCTAATACAGGGAAGGAGGAAGAATTGAGCACAAGAATCCAATGTACCACAAAGTCCTTGTGATCCAAAAGTGGACTGTAGAAATGTCTGCTTTGAAAATAAGCTATTTGCCAAGAGATTATATAACAAGAAGCAATTTACTGTTGCATTTACAAAACTGCCCTTTGAAATGTGGTTTTAATTCTATCCTTTTTGTTGTTGTTTTTTTTTTAGAGATGTGAAGATGTGTGGATCGGGATGCCATCACCTATTCCTTCGAAATACGTTAACTATTTTAAATTTTTAAAGGATGTGTATGGCTTAGAGGTGGAGTAACCATGCCAATTTAGCTCAACTCCTTTGATTTCCTGTTCTAATTTTGCCAAGTTTATTTCAGTGGATATAATTTCATTAAAAACAGAAAAGAAACAATTTCAATTGAATTGAAATCCAGACACTATAATTAATCTCTTTGTCATTTTAGTTTTTCAGAACATCATATTATATTGCTGATGTACCAGTGCTATTAAAAATGTCATTTAAAGAAACATCGAACATTTTTATTTTATGTATGATTTATTAATACCAAAGAATCTTATGGTAATTTTGTAACCAACATAATTTGATTTATTACAACTCAAAAAGAAAATGACTTTTGACAGCTATACATAGCAATATAAAATCAAATTATATCAAAGTAATAAATTGTGATTCTATTAAACATTTTTTGAAATCTTTTTGACATTTGTTACCTGTATAATTAAACTTTGTAGCAACCCATCTTATCAAAATAATTCTTAAACCTCTACAGTGAAGATATTTATTTTCTGAAATTAGCAAAGCTGTGAGAAGAAAAGGAGTCCATACTCCCTGCAACACGCACTTGCAGGCATGTAAAAATTTGGGAGAGAAATTGAAACATATGCGGTGTTTATATTTTAATGCCCTTTTTATACCCAAAGTTAGCTTGTTAATTTAGGAATATATGCATGTGTGTATAGTTTTAGTATGACCAAAAATGTATTATGTCTAAAATATTTAAGGATGTGAGGGCTGATGAGTTTGAGAGATCATTTTGGTTCATTCTCCATACACATATACCATCCACCCCAGGGGTTTAACTATTCTAAGACTACAGCATTTTCCTCCTACATTTCTCTGGTTCCATTTTTCTTATAACTTTTTATTGATTTCAGAGAGGGAGAGAGAAACATCAATGATGACAGAGTCATTAATCAGCTGCCTCCTGCACGCCCCCCACCGGGGATCAAGCCCCTCAACTTGGGCATGTTCCCTAACGGGGAATCGAACTTCAATCTTCTGGATCATAGGTCGATGCTCAGCCACTGAGCCACGCCTGGCCGGGTTCCAGTTCTATTTTTATTTTTCTTCTAGGCCTGTACATTATGAATCTCAGCAGAACTTTTGTCATGTAATGTATATTTGATTAATACTCATAATCAAGGACCTCTGGGAATTTATTGTAAGAAGTTTGTCCCAATCTACCCCAGTCTTCAGTGTTGGGTGCCACATATCATAAGTCCAGTCACCTGGTGTTCTCAGAGACAATGGAAGCCTATGGCAAAGTGACTTCAACCTTTACCTTTCAGGGTCTGCTCTGAGGAGAGGAAGAGGGTGATATCTCAGGGGCCTTCTCCACATTTGCAGTATCTTCTTGCCTAAACATGAGCTGGCTTCTTGGCACTCACATATTCCAATTTGCTTGACAACAATGGCTCTTTCAATTTTTAAAATTCAAGTTAATAAACTATTTCTATATATAAACTTAGGATAATTCTACATGTCGTTGTTGGAATAGACCCCATAGGACTTTCCAATAAACTAGAATATTCAATTTATAACCTAGAACCATTTACTCACAAAAATTTTGACTATGTGATTTTTATCCCAGGTTGTTTTTTGTTTGTTTTTGTTTTGTTTTTAAGACAACTAACAGTGCCAAGCCATTTTGTTACTTTAAGATTTTTCATTCCCCAGAGAACAAACTTTTAGAAGAATGACATTTTCCTGGAACTTTTCAGGCTTATGTATTTGTCACTTACCTATTCAACTCTTCAGTCAGTTGTCTTTCCCTCAAGATTTTAAATATGTAGATAATTTAAGCCTTGTACAAGCTTGTACTATAACTCATTTGAGAAGTAGGAGGAGACAAGGAAGCAAACCAGTGATATGCTCCTGAATTTGTAGGATGACAACTGCTTATTCTTTTGTATAGATGTGTGTTACTGCCCTTGTTATTCGAAGTTCAAGCCCACAATTAGCAATTAGATGGCTATTATAGGAATCATGCCGATAAACATGATACACTGCAGCATTACGGACACTTTAAATAATTATTCTTTTTATAACTAAGCCATATACTGAAGGAGATTTATAATTTAGAGATAATATCCCCATTAGCAAAGTTTACAACCCAATAAACAGCTTCTATTAGTTAATAAATGCCAAAGCCATAAAAATAATGACCATTAATGTAATAGAATTTCTGTACAGTCCTCTTTTGCTAGTGGTCTCAAGGTATTGAAGGGAAATGCTATCTTAGGAAAAACATTTATTCTCATTATGTAAATATCAATGAATTGTCTTATAATCCATCTGGAAATCTCCCAGCACCTCCTTTGGTCCAAGGTGGTCCTGAAATGCTTATGAATTCTGCTTAGGTTTCAAGCAGTAGATAACTGGTTTTCAGCACAAATAAACCCTGTGACTCAAATAATTGGGGGAGGTGGGGGAAAATGCTGGAATTTGTCTCTTCTCTTCTCTCTAAAAAAGAGAAATTCTAACTATTGCCATTATTCCAGAGTAATAATTTTTTAAAGTTTTACAACCTTAGCATATACTTATATTTTTAGCTCCTAACATTTTCTCATTTTGATGGAAAATCAAGTGCTGCCTGTAGATGTCTGGGTGAGTTGAAGGTTAATATAGGCAAATCTTTTGTACTAAGAGTGAATTGCATTTTAGTATCTTTGGAACCGTGGGAATGATTGATAAAGTTATTTGAAAGCCCAAATCAAATTGTCTTTTCATAAAAAACTGATTAAAAGCTGTTGAAATTCACATTAAATGGTTTGCTGAGTCATATTTGTAAAGTATGGATGTTGTTGGCAAATGACTAATTTCCAGTGTTTAATTGCCTTTTTTCTCCCCCTTTGAAAAGTAATGTGGATGAGTCTATGGATTGACTTTAGTGCTTACTAAAATAGTTAAAATTTAAAAAAATAGAAAGGAGATAAAGAGCACTGTAACTTTTAAGTATTACAATAGTTTAAACATTTTGCCCACTTTATTCTATATATTACCTTTGATCCAATTAATGTTAAACATATCATTCTTGGTCTTTGTTTTTTGTATGCTATGCTATTTGAAGTTTGGTTATTTAGAGTTGTAGATGTAACTGAACAGAAAGAGAGTTTGTCCGTCTGGGTGCACAGCAGAGCCAAACACTGAACACCAAAAACTGCAGTGGAAGAAATTGGAGTCACTTTATTGTTAGGCCATGCAAGGAGAACAGGAAAGCTGTTGCTCAAAAGCCTGAGCTATCCAATGGCTTACAATTGGAGGGTTTTAAGGGGTTAGGGGGAACAGGTATGTAGAGGTACTGGCTGGGTGAATTTTAATTGGAGAACGTTGGAACTCGGCCACTTATGGTAAGGGACTGAAGCACTGGAACTTCTTGGACAACAGACACTTTGATTCTGAAGGGGTTCCAGTATTCAAGTTCCAGTCAGGTCCCAATGCTTTGGTTCCATGGAGAGGTGAGAAAATGAAGGACAAGGGTGGCACATACATAGTGCTATCTCTGTAAATAACTCAAGTCTTGTATTAATCACCGATCTGCTTTAAAGGAACAGAACCAGCTTTAAGCTGGCCAGTGTGATTTGTGTGCTGTTTCATAGAGGTTACAGGCTTTATGGACGACTCAATCATGAGTTTAAGATATTTAAATTGCCATTCCTTCTTTCATATAGCAGGAGTGGCTCAATGTTGTCCTGTGATCCAGGGGATCGCAGTTTGGTTCCCAGTTAGGGTACATGCCAGGGTTTCAGGCTCGATTCCCAGTGGGGGGCGTGCAGGAGGCAGCCGATCAATGATTCTCTCATCATTGATATTTCTCTCTCTCCCTCTCCCTCTCCCTCTCCCTCTCCCTC